TCTGGGTCTGAGGATCGCTTTGAGTTAGCAACTCCTCACATGAGCCACATTCATCAGCCCTAATTTGAATGGGCAGAGGTGACTGCAAATGTGTAAATGTTAAAATGATATTATTCAAAAGCCCTTGAGATCCCCATGGAGCATCATCAACATTAAAATGCAGCACAGAAGACCCATTGCTTGAGCAGCTCACAGGGTAAAAGGAAAATGAACATCCAGAAGGAATAAAAATCAGACGTTGACAGGGCTGGGAATTGGCACGCTGGCGTGTCCCGTTCCACAGAGCAGCTGGCCTCGCTGTAAGGACGGGTCCTGAGCAGCCCTCCTTCCCATGCCCTGGGACCTCCGCTTTTCCGCCTAGAAGGGCAGGTGGCGGGAGGGCTGAGAGCAGCCTGCGGGGCGGGGGCTGGGGTTGGGAGCAGGGCAGGGTTGCAGTGGGAAACACAGTAATTCCCCTCAGAAGGAGCCTTCAGGCCTAAGGGTTCTACTTCTCTTCAAGCCTGACAAGGTTACCCGCTCCTCTAGGACTCAGCTCAAAAGCAGCCCCATGTGAGAACTCCCCTGGTTCAAAGAAGTCCTGCTTTTCCTTTCCACCCACCGTGCATGTGGTCTCTGCCTTTCTTAAAGCATCTATTGATGTTTGCCTTCTAATTAGTCCTATGTCTACCAGTGTCTTCCAAGAGCTGGTAAGCCCGGCGCAGCAGACTTGGCGTCTTCGTCTCCGTATCACCTGGGTGCCCCTGGAGGCAGACAGCTGGACACACTCGGTGGTGGAATGAGCGGTCACAGCGACAGTCCTGGGACCTGTCTCAGGGTTTCTCACGTCAGCTCTCTCTCCATGAGCTCCTCTGTCTTCTGCTGCAGAGAGCTGTAAGAGGACGAAGGCAGCGGATGCCCCTAAGCGCGTGCGTTCACGTGGGCCGTCTCGTCCTCACGACAGACCTGTGAGGGACGGAGAGGTTGGTCACATCTGCACGCACAGTATGCTGGGATGGATCCTGCCTGGGGGATAATAACGATCGTTAACATCTGCTGAGAGCTTGGCACGTGCCAGGCCTGATTGTAAAAGCCTTGCACGTGTAATTTAATTCTCACAACAGTGCTGTGAAGTAAGTACTGCTAAGATCCCAGAATTACAGATGAGGCCACTAAGGCACAAAGAAGTTAAGTGATTTGCTCAGGATCCGTCTCTTGATCAGCATCTTGTTAACACCGTGTCCTGAAGGGCCCTTACATTACCCAGACTTTGCAGAAGGGAGAGCCCATTGAGTGGTTCTTTCCTCCCTCCTTGATTTGCCAAGAAATCTATCTGAGCCTTGAATATAATTTTTTTTATGGGAAAGAGGATGCTGGTTTATTAAGATGCTGAGGTTCTTAGATCTTGGCAAGCTTTTCAGATACCGCAGTGCCTCTGCTAGGAATTGCCTGGTAAGTTGTATAATTAGAAGAATCCCTTTTCTTGAATTCTTACTCTCCGCAATGTTTTGGTGGGTTGTGGTTTCTGTAAGGGGCTTGTGACCCGCAGAGAGTCCTCCTCTCCTCGTAGTTCCTTTCTCCATAAGCTTCCATTCCTTCCTTCTGCCCACTTCCTTCCCCCGGCATCTGCTTGGTATTGCACCCTTGGCATCGCCTCTCTTTCTTCATTGATGGCCAGCATGAATGGGTGGCTGTTTGACAAGGCCTTCGTTGTCGGCCCCCAGCAGCCGTCAGAACTTTCTCTGCGGCCTGGGTTCTGAGGTCCTCCCAGGCGGCACCAGCCAAGCTGGCTCCCTGTTCTGACTATGGTGTTTTTGGTGGTTGTTTGGCCTCCCTCGCTGCGCCCCGAAGTTATTAAATTAAAAAGGTGGAAGCCGATGCAGAAGCAGGCGTTTCTGTTACCAAAGTTCTTACCATGCAGGCAGAGGGGCATTACACCTGGGGCCAGCACCTGTGGGAACATGCCCATTAGAATATAGTCCCAAGGGACCAGCAGTTAGCGTAATGGCTATGTTGCTGAACTCCCAAGTAGTCAGCTGCGGTTTGAGTCCCGGACCCGGTGGCTGAAACTCACTCCAGGCACGTGTGTGTGCATGCCCAAGATCCCGAGAGGAGAATGGAGAAGAAGGGATTGCGGCGTGGCCATCCCCCCTGGGGGGTGATTTCCCACTTTCTGTCTCTCTGGCGAACACACATGCCCTGTAGCCCAAAAACAAAACAAAAAAAAACCAACTCTCCAAAAACAAGAATATAGCCCCAGAGGTGGCCAATGTTGCCCGTTCGCTTTCCCCATCCGCCTCTCCCAGGAGATCCTGTTGGCCTGAACCCCATTGGATGGTCATGTGCCATCCTCTTTGTGGCCCCACCACGCGGTACTATGGGCAGCTTTGTACCTGCCACCCGTTATTACATGTGATGGTCATGGCTTCCGGGGCCTCAGGCGGGCTGTCGGGAACTCTCACCTACCCAGCGTTTCTTCCCTAGAGGGGTGTTGGAGTAGTTCAGGGCGTGTTCGTTGCTCAGGACCTGACCTTTGGGGTGTAGGGTTTGTGAGTTGGGGCTGTGAAAGTCGCAAAACAGTCAAGTGTAGAGAAGGGAGGCACCAAGGCTCACGGTGCGGGGCTCCTGTGGATACTCCGAGCCAGAAGTGGGGCTCGTTTGCTGCCCCCTCTGCAGCGTCTGCAGGCTTGCCAGAAGCGAAACAGAGTGTGGAGACAGAGCTGTCCTCTGGGGAGGTGGGGTGGATGGAGCCCGCTCTTCGGACCCCAGGAGGCGGCTGACCGTGAGAGCTGGCTGTTAGGGCCCTCGCTTACAGGCTGTCTTGGAGGAGCCAGCAGCGGGGACACTGACGTGAGGCTTGATACGTGGAGACGTTAATAAAGTGCTGCTCCTGCCGCATCGCTCCTCACCTGATGGCCCTCTGTAGCTGCAGAAGTGAGCTTCCGGGAAGGGCCTAGAGGCTGCGGGCGTGATGGTGATGGGTGGCAAGCCGGCAGCAGCAGTTGACGCACCCAGGCAGGGAGAAGTCCCCTGTCACAGAAGGATAGAGGCTTGGATTCTCACCACTATTGTAACAGTAAAGGAGTAAAGGGATTTTTAAGGACCGTGCAATCCAGCCCTCCTATTTCCTTTTTTTCTTTTTCTTTTGGAGAGGTTTTTGCTATAGGGCACGTGCGCTCGCCAGACAGAGAAAGACAGAGATACAGAAAGTGAGAAATCACCCCCCGGGGGGATGGCCACACCGCAATCCCTTCTCCTCCATTCTCCTCTCGGGATCTTGGGCACGCAAGCACACGCGCCCGGTGTGAGTTTAAGCCACCGGGTCCAGGATTCGAACCGTGGTCGACTACGTGGGAGTCCAGCAACATAGCCATTACACTAGCTGCTGGTCCCTAGCCCTCTTATTTTAGACACAGCCCACAGAGATGATGTTGCTGCTCCAGCCACACAGATAGAGCACTGTCATGCCAGAGCCAGATCGTCGACTGCTTGGTTGAGGTCTTCTCCCTCACCATTTTGCACAGACCACTAAAGGCCTGTGGGCCTGTGATTCGTCATGTGTAAAAATAGTTGCACTAGGGACCAGCAGTTGGTGTAATGGCTATGTCACTGGACTCCATGTAGCTGACCATGGTTCGAATCCTAAACCCAGTGGCTTAAACTCATGCCAGGTGCATGTGTGTGTGTACCCAAGATCCTGAGAGGAGAATGGAGGAGAAGGGATTGCGGTGTAGCCATCGCCCTGGGGGGTGATTTCTCGCTTTCTGTCTCTCTGTCTCTGTCTTTCAAGAGATCGCATAGCAAAAACCTCTCCCCCCCAAAAAAAAAATTAAAATAGTTGCACTCAGTCCTTTTGGTTCTAAGATCCTCTGATCTCCTGAATAGTCTCGGGAGCTTTGGGCACAGTAGGGAATCATTTGGTGGAAGTACCATTGATTTTACTTACAGAGAAAATCAAGTTGAACATTCACTTGGGAGTGCGAGCTAGCCCTGGGCATGGTGCTGTTACCTCCTCTGGTGCTGTGTGTGAACATCCTCAGCAGGCCAGAGTTCCTGCAGGGGAGCCCTGGGTGGCCCTCTGTGGTGCTGGAGTCCCTCAGGCAGAGGGGCCTGAGTGCACAGTAGGAGTGCACAGTAGTAGCTGGCCTCATGAACTAGCAGTGTCAGATATCCGGGATGCTTAGGAAGTCTTGGAACTGCAAATGTCTCTTGGCATTGACAGAGTAGACCATTTCATTTTCACTGGATTAACTAAGGTTAAACTTATACAAATATGAGCAGCTGGGAGGCTTTGGAAGGGGCAAGATGTGCACGTTCTCAAAAAAAAAAAAAAGAAAAGAAAAGAAAAAGGAAAGTCTGTGCTCCCTGAGGAAGGAAGGACGAGGCGTGGAGCTCTGCGCAGCCCCCTCTGCGGAAGGAAGCAGTTATTTCTCTGCCGTTTTGTTTTGCACTTTCAGTTACGGAATTCCAGAAGTCGCAGGTTGTGGATCGTGACCTCCAGCTTTCCCCTGTCGCTGTTTGCCAGAGGAAGGGAGGGCGGGTGGCTCTAAATAACACTTTGGCCTTTATGGAAATGCATCAGAAGTTCCAGGAGTCTCGCTCGGGGCTGCTGGAGCGCTCTCCCTCTCTCTCCCTCACTCTTGCTCCACGTTCACTCCCTCTGTCCTCACTCGTGGCCTTGCTGTAGGATATAGTTAGCACTCCTCTTCGCCTTATATAGCAAGGTCTGGTTGTTAATGTTAACAGAAACCTAACAACAGGGAAAGCGGCCAGGCAGCATTAATCAGGCCAGTGTTTGGAATTTCATAAATGCCCTGACTTTGGGTACAAACTGAACATTAAGAACAATAGTAAACTGTTTTCTTCCTTCCTCTCTTCTCTCTCTCTCTCCCTCCTCCCTAGTTTCTCTCTCTTTCACTCAGTTTCTGAATTCCTCTGTTCTGCTATATGCTTGCTGCATTGGGACTTTGTTGGTTTTTGCCACATTTAATTTTTTATTTCTCTGTCTCTCCGTCCACTTCAAGACCACAGGCAGAGCAGCAGCAACCGGAGCCAGGACTCCACGGAGGGGCAGGACGGGCAGGTTCCGGAGCAGTTCTCGGGTCTCCTCCACGGCTCCTCCCCAGTGTGTGAGGTGGGGCAGGACCCTTTCCAGCTGCTCTCTGCCACCAGCCAGAGCCATCCAGACAGGTCCCCCCAGCAGGACGCCTGCCACGAGGCCAGCATGCAGCTGGAGGAGACGGGTGTGCACACTCCTGGGGGCCCCCAGCCCAGCGTCCTGGACCAGAGCAAGCGAGTGGGCTACTCAGCAGGCCTGCCCACCACCCACAGCCGGCCACACCCTGACACTTGGACTCACACAGCACCTCTGCACCCTGCTGGTGCCGAGGAAGAAGGAGACAGGAGCGGGGCCAGAAGCCGGGCCCCTCCCACCAGCAAACCCAAAGCTGAACTCAAACTCAGCCGCAGCTTGTCCAAGTCTGACTCTGATCTCCTGACCTGCTCACCCACGGAGGACACCACGATGGGGAGCCGGAGTGAGTCCTTGTCCAACTGCAGCATCGGGAAGAAGAGGCTGGAGAAGTCACCCTCCTTCGCCTCGGAGTGGGATGAGGTAAGGCCGACTTGACGTCACGGAGAGCCAGGCTGGCTGCAGCCCACCACGGTTCCTGTGCGTGCCAATTTCCAGGGCCAGGATCTGGGCCAGGGTGACCCTGGTTTCTCTGCACTGGGACCACCTTGTCCCTGACAGTTGTGAGGAAGGCATGTCGCAGGGAGCCTGGATCACAGAGGACAGGGCCGTTCAGGGTTAAATGTGAGGGTGGAGGCCCCAGCAGAGCAGGGCCGAGGGAGGGGCAGTTCCTAGAAATGACATGCTGTTTGGAACTGTTCGGATCTCCAGCCCATGGAGGGAATCGCTCACCGTGAAGATGCTTGAGAACTGTAGTACTTCCTGTGGGTCCTTCAGGAGGAAGAGGGGCGATCCAGGGTTTGCGTGGGGAGAAGCTGCCGCAAGAGAATCAGGGACTTTTCTGTTCCCTGCTTCCACGTTATTCTTGCTCTGTTCCCCGGGAAGACCAGATGCCTCTCCCAGCAGAAGCATCCTGCCCATCCCACATTCCCGGCTCCCTGAGGCAGAGGGCTAGGTGGTTCAGGAAGCAGCGATTAGTGAGGAGAAAACATTTGGAGTCCAAGGTTCCTTTCATAACCATTGTTACAGAACAGTTGGAAGTAGGTGTCCAGATGCTTTTCAGGGGCCGAAGAATGTGTTTGTCAGAGACTGGTAAACACCTCGGGAATGTTCTAAGTGCCACCGTCACGAGCTTCTTGTTGGGACGAAACTGCCTTTGGCGTGAACTAGGCCTCTCGGAAACAGTTCCGAGATGCATTTAGCTCTCTGGGGGTGGGGAACAGTGCAGCTGACTTGTCCATTTGAACCATCTGAGACTGAATGCCCTGCCCAACTCTATTTGGGTTGCAGCTGCAAAGTTATGTAAACCACAGCCAAACCCATTTCCAGGGTGGGAACAGGAGGGGCAATTCTTTCAGCTGTTATCTCCAGATAAGCTAGGGCTAAGGACGCCGTTCAGCCAGAGGCAGAGGACTCCCGTGCAAAAGGCGGCTTGCATGGCTTAATGAACGGAGGTTTGGTGAGCCTGTACTGGGTGCCAGGCCACTGAAGGAGGATCACTGAGTGAGACAGCTCCTGAGGGCCGGGAGTTACACACAGGGTCATCACGCATGTGTGTTTGGAGGACTGTGTGCTGCACCTTTGTTTTTCAGTCTTAGCAGTTTACAGTCAGGTATAGGATAAGGCACTTTAAGAGCAGTATGAGGGGTCAGCAGTTGGTGTAATGGCTATGTCACTGGACACCCATGTAGCCAGACCCGGTGGCTTAAACTCACGCCGGGTGCGTGTGTGTGCATGCCCAAGATCCCGAGAGGAGAATGGAAGAGAAGGGATTGTGGTGTGGCCATCCTCCCGGGGGGGGGTTGATTTCTCGCTTTCTGTCTCTGTCTGTCTGGCGAGCGCACGCGCCATATAGGAAAAACCTCTCCAAAAAAAAAAAAAGAGCAGGACGAATGCAGTAAGCCCTGACGTGGTGGGAGAAGACATCAGTGGGTCGGGAGGGACGGGAGGTGTCAGGGTGGAGATGGCCTTACGTGGAATGGAAGAGCCAGGCGTGGTGGTTACAACCAGATTGACGCTGATGGGATGAAGAAAGGACACGGCAGGTAGAGGACAGCAAAGGCATGGAATTGGGAACAGTTACGTCATTCGGTTTTCAGTGTTGAGTGGGTCTAGGAGAGAGCGAAATAAGGGTAGAAAGTGAGATTTTTACATCTATTCTATCCATTTTCTATATGAGGGAGAGAGAGAGAGAGAGAGACCGGCACCCCGACAGGGCCTCCACTCCCAGCCTCTGCCAGCCGGCATGTAGGCCTGCCTGTGCACACTAGGCATGCCCCAGGAGCCTCCGGGACACGAACCTGGAGCCCTCGCACATGGCTTGCCACATTGTGAAGCAGCGCGTTACTGCTGCACCACTGCAGCCAGACGGGTTCACCATGTCCTGATCCTGCTGTGTTAGCCTCCCAGCTGGGACTACAGGCTTGCACCACTGTGCCCAACTCTTTCAGAAGGGCCTCCACTTGTTTCCCAGGCCAGCCACGAGTGCACGGTCCTCCTGCCTCAGCCTCCCCTCACCGCTCGCATTACAGGCACATCCCACCTCACCTGGCCCTGAGGTTGGACTGGGAATTGAACCCAGGTGTTCCATGCAGTTATTTAAAATATTCTATTAGATTAACTTCAGGCTGTGTGTATGAGGTATACCTAAAACATAAATGAATTTAGACTTGGGTCCCATCCCCTAGGTATCTCATTGCATAGAAGCAGATATTCCCAAATCCGAAACACTTCTGGATCCAAAGCATTTGAGATGTAGGCTGCTCCACGTGTAAGTGACTCACTCTTACGGCAGGGTCTCAGGATCCTTCAGATGGGGTCGTGACAGTTTACCAGTCTAATGAATCACCCCTGTTTATGGCTCCTCCTCTAGAGCACGCGCCCACCCCGAGGGGCGGATGGTCCTTCACGGGATCTTCATGCTGTTAACGGGCCGTGTCGCCAGGCCGTCTCACAGGCTCCCCCGTTTCCTTCTGGAGGAGAGTCATGGAATCACCAAGGCGAAACCCAGCTTAGTTGAAGTTGGCCACCTTGGCTAATTAGCCAGTTGCCTGCCTCTAAACAGAGGGGCCTGAGAGGCTGTGACGGCCGCAGGAAGAGGGTACTGCACCCAGGGACTGTTCGAGGTCTCGGGGTTCTGGGCCAGTTCTGGCTGAAGCACCGGAACCACTGCTACATTCTCCACCTGAATAAAGTGCGAGGCCGCTGAGGTCCTATGGGAAGGGATTCAGAAGATCCAGCTTTGCCGGCATAGCAAACACGAACTGGTCTTTTCTGTGTAACCCTTCGACACTGTTTCCTAGTCGTATTACACTTGGTTTTGGTGGATGTCTCTATCCACAGAGACTCTTCAGAAGTGTTTCCCCGAGTGACTGGCCCTAAGTCCAGGGCTTTGGCAGACTTTCCTACGATAGGGCGTTGGCTAATGGCTGCCCCCCTACCCA